CTAGCAAGCAGCATGATACATTAGTGTCATTAAGATAACTTCAAGTTGCAATATCCAACTGTAGGAATTATTTAGATCAATGTGCTGTAAGGCCACAGGAACTAGGCAATATAAATTCTCCTTGCTCTGTCCTGATTTTGTTTTCAGGTCAGACTAATTAAAGTATTTTCTAGGATTAGAAAATAAGTTACGATGTTAGTGGTACACAAAAAGTACTTCTAAGCAGCCAGCAGTTGTCAGTTCATTTTTGGCAGTAAAAGGAGTTAAAGCCGCGCTATCATTAAATGATGTAAGTAAATTGGTCCAGTCTTTATTAAATCACTATTTAAAAATTGTACTTGTTTCTACCTGCTGTAGAAGACATTAAGGCAAAAACAAGCTCTCCTGTAAGTCATATAGGTACATTACAGGTAAGATTGTTTTAAATACACAAAAAAAAGCTTAATTTAAATGAAGCAACATCATTAGTTTATTGGACTTGAAGAAACACTATTATCAAAAGCCCATTATCATTTGCCAGAGATGAGTTTGTATTGGCCACTATTGCAAATATAAGTATATGTGAATACTTAACGTAGTTGTAATTTTCAGAAGATAATGTGTTTGGGTAATGCTGTTCACCATGATTATGGCTATCAGCTTCCACAACATTTCTTCTCTGAACCTAAAGAGAACGCAGAATAGGCTTTTTAACCAAACACCAGTTAATTGCTGAGTTGGAAAACTTGTCTTCATGACTTTAGATGAAATACAAATATTTGATTTTCCAAATTCCTATGAGAATCTTGTATACGCAATGCTTCCAACATTTTAGATTCAGGGTAATAAATGGGATACTATAAAAGGGCAGAATATTCCAATTCAAACTAAGAAGCATGAATGCAATTCAAAACCAGACAAGTACAAAGGATTCTCTAATAATAATTTGTCAACTTCTATTAAAATATGTATATACTATATATTCTCTCTACATACACATCCCATATATAGAAACCCTGTATCTTATATAGTATACTGACACATATATTCTACCACTACAGAATCTGTTCCTGCAGAAGACTCAAAATTACTGTATTTGTACAGGTGGTACCCATAATTGTCATAATGATGGCCAAAAGGCCATGAATTTCTTGGAGGAGTATCCTCTAGTGAAGTGGTCAAAGATGACACCAACTAAACACTAGAAAAATGCCTTTCTGCAATATAAGTGTTCTTATATTAGTGTACAATGTCCTTACTACCAAAAGAGGCTGGCAAATTTTACTGAAATATAGTCCCAGCACTTTATTTCATTGAAAAGGTTAACTCAAGAATATAGCTGCATTTTGATTAGTTATGTGCATCTGTACGATAAAGATTGTCAATCAGTAACTTTAGCAAGAAAGAGCCACAGAACACATTAGGCATTTTAAAGGTCTGTTTTCACACCATCTGAACATTAACTTCTGAGAATTTAGACAGCAGCTTAAAGCTGATGGTTACTCAAAATTACTACAGTTTAACACTTACTTATACTGATTTACCTTAAAGCAATGTTTACTATGTGCACTGAACTGACATTTGATACAATAGGGCAATATAACACACAATAAAGTAACATGATATAATAATGTAACTAATTTCTAAAGCAAACTGATTACAATTAACTTTAACACAAATAGCATAAGATTCTTCAGGGGACTTAAGCTTATCAAATCAAGAGCAGTTTCAATCTCTCAATCTCTTTTTAAAAAAACAAAAAAGTACTTTGCAATCTAACTGCCAAATTTCAAAGTTGAAATCAGCCTCCAATGCTAATATTATGCTTCTTCAGTGGCTTTCAGAACCCTGGCAGCCCATTCAGTAATTCTAAATAACCCATGAAAGGCAATTAAAAAAGATGGGAAAAAAGTCTATCATCAGCAACCTCAAAATTCTCTTTACAAGGGCCATCGCCTGATACTGAAGTACTACAAGGGTCTATAAACTGAAAAAGGATGAAAAACTACACCATTATTCATTAGCCAAGAGCAAAAAGAAAAGAAAATAGCCTAAAAGAGGCCTCTCTGAAGAGGCTGAAAAGGGCTAGAATGAAAAGTCCTATACAATCATAAACCTTTGCCATCAGTAGTCTGCAGTTACATAGCTCCTCTGATGACAAGAGAGACGTGCAACAGCAGTGGAAACATTTAGAAATAGAGCATTTCTAAACATTACTTAGAAGTTAGTGAATACAAATGTATGAATTGTCAGAGCTAAGAAAGCTTTAGAAAACTAGAACAAACAGCTTCAAAGGAAATAAGCTCTTCTAGCAATTTGGCTAAGTTATTAAAAAAATAAGCAAGACCCTTGTACTTGATTGGGAAGAAGAAGAATGAATCACAAGTTTTCAATACCCTTAAGACTTCCGTATGCAAAACTAGTTATCACTAGACATAGCATTTTTTTATGTAAATAATTTAATTAGCTAGGCTTCATAATACTGTCAGAATAATTTAAGAGTTGCTTTTGAGTTTTTCTTTAAATATTTGATACTTTGTCCAGAAGATGAGTTACACAACTAAACCAAATACTTCTCTACAGAAAATCAAAGCATGTAACCAATCTAACCTATTTTTTATTAGATGTCCAAAGTATACAAAGCCTTATTTATCTGGCAATTCCATTTTATCATATATTTGCCAAAACCCTGTCACACACTGACTCCTAGGATCTTAAACAAAAGCAAATGTAGTTTTGGAAAATGTAACTGACACTAGGATGTTGGGGTTTTTTTTTTGTAAAAAAATGAAACAAAAACCCCACCACACAAACAAAATTACACACACGCATCCCCCCCCCCGCATTTACATTACTTAAAGACACAGTCTTCAAAAGTTGACAGTTCTGTTCTAGTTTACAGTTTTGATTTCAAAATTCGAGAACGTATTGAATGGCTATTCTTGCAGTTTCTCATTTGAGGTGTATATCTGAGAAAGAACAACCTGACACACCCTTGCTTTCGAAACAGTTTCTTGCCAAGCATGCTCAGATGCAGGAACACAAGTACAGTTACTATCTGCGTGTAATCCTTGTTCTCAAACTAGATGGAAACAAAATGAATGCTGCTGAATACATGCAGTAGGAGACTTTTTTTTTTTAATGGAAATTTTTTTCCAGGAGCACTAGTACCTGTTAATTTTCACATGTGCTATGTTCACCAAGTTTACCAGTGTAACTGCACGTGTAGTTCTGACCACTGTTATTTTTAAAATAGGGTTTAATTCTAAAAAATTCAATTTCAACAGTTTACACTTTTGTCATTTCACATTCAGAAATAAATCTCAAAGTGAAAAATCACATCCAACTGGAAAAAAATCTCTTGTACACAAAGTACACTGAAATGCAAAATTTACCAGTCGTCTTACTCAGACACCTTCCTCTACAAACTACTGCTAATACAGACATGCCTACAGACAAAGATGAAGTTAGAAGAGGTTTGAGGATGGGAGGGGAAATGCATGCGGGGGAGGAGGAAAACATATTTAGCACTGTATCTTTGTGGCTTCCCCAGTCATCTCTATGGGACAGAACATCATATTTACAAATAGGGAATCAAAATTCCACTATGAACTTTAAAGAAAAACTTTAATGCTCTGAAAATGCTGTTAGAGACAACATTATATTTTTATAGTCACCAAGTTTTATGATATAGCAACTTCAGACACAGTTCCCAGTCATTTTAATCAAAAAAACTCTAACCTTCCACACTGACATGAGAAGCACTGTCTAGACTACGTTATTACACCAACATCAAAATAAACTAGATACTCTTAAAATAGAACATTGACACATATTTCTAGGGTGAAAAAAACCACCTAGCATTCTGAACTAACTGTGGCACTTTTGCTCAAATTTACAAACAGGTAACACCATAGTACAATAAAATCTAGAATAATTTCTACCAGAAATAGCACAGGTTTCATGAGTACCCAGATCTCATAAACTCTCAAATGCAGTACTTTAAATATAAACGTTTCTTGACCGAATTAGCTCTCAGAAACACTGTAAATGCTATTCTTTCTCATACTGGTTTTTTTCCTAGTCTCAAGAACCTGCTCCAGAGTCTCAAATCCATGTCAGTTCCCCAATTCTCTCATGCTTATCCTCCATGATGTTTTTTTCCACACTATCCCTAAACCAAACGTGGAGCACTAATGCCCTTTTAGAATGAGGAAAAGTAGCTAAAGATTTGCCTGAAAGCTACAGTCTTGTCAAACACTTGCAGCGTTGTATCTATGTCATTGTACTCTACTTTGCTTGATAAATTCTAGATAAGCATCCTTAAAAACACTACTTGTACCAGTATACTTAAAGATCAAACAACTGAGGAAAGTTAGGAGATCCAACACAGGAATTCTGCCACGTAAAGAAAGCCAAGATAACACAACTATTTAATTCAATTCCACGTGGAACAAGATAGGAGAATGCCCATTAAAAGCGACGGGAGCTTGGCCCTATAAACTACGCACGAGGCACACAAGTCAATTTTACTGTTCATGGGCTTCCTTCCGTACAGAAACTTTAAAAAACACAAGTACGAACTTCACACCTAAGAAAATACAGTTTCTGTAAGACCAGAAGCCACACTGTCCACGCGTCCAAAAAACCAAAATACAGGGGAAGCGAGCGATCCAGCAACGGGCCGGGTGGAGCAGAAGGCGGGACAATGACCTAATAGGTCCTTTCTATCTTTAGTTTCATGAGCCTCTATGGGCAAGAAGCGTCTGGATCACACGCTCTGCTCTCCCACACCACGGGAACTCGGGACACGTCCCTCTTCGCGGGGCAGTGAGCGGGCGCAGCGCCTACCTGCCTGACCAAGTTCTCCGGGAACTCGATGCTTACAAGAGGTATCCCAAGGTGACAGAGCTTACGGACGGGCAAGCTTCAGGCAGCGCTGAACTCAGAAGCAACACTACAAGTCATTTTTTAGCTACGAGCGATACTGCAAGTCATTTGAGTCGCCCGCTTGTCCTTACCTTGAACACTTTACCGAAAGCACCATCTCCCAGCTCTCCTATAATTTCCCAGAACTCTTCAGGGTTCAAATCCCTCTTGACGTGCTCGTATTGTTTCTTCTTCTTCTCACCACCCAGCTTGAAGATCTTACGAAAGTTGAAGAAGG